CAAATTAGTGGAACTCTTTCCTTGACCATATGTATTTCTGAAAAAGCTTCCACTTGACAAATGCTGTTGTATTAAAATGTACCTATATTATCTTGCCAATAATAGACATTGAAATATTTTGTTTCTGCCTATATAGAATACTAATCTAAGGATATAATGATTATAAGAAATGCAGAATTTATTATAAATTGACCAGCATTAAATACATTTAAGAAGTTACAAGTGTTTTATACTTGTGGGACATATTCTCAACAACTCTGAAATATGCATGCTGAATAGAAAAAATCTATCAGAATTTTAAAAACTAGAGCATTTTAGTTTTTAAATCCTAAAATTGAATGTATATGTTACTGTAATGGTTCTCAAAGTGTGATACCTGTACTAGCAGCATCAGCATCACCTGGGAACTTGGTAGAAATGCAAATTCATAGACCCCACCCTAGACCAAATTAATCAGAGACTCTTGGGTTGGAACCCAGAAATAAGTTTTACAAACCCTCTGAGTGATTACAATACACACTCAAATTTGAGAATCATAACATTAAACTGATTTTATATAACTACAGCTACCTGCTAAAGATTTCTATTCAACCTAATTTCCAGGTCATACGAGTGTTTCTATTTATTCAATAGTTTCACTATTATATATTTTTCAGTAATGAAACTGGATATACTACACCTTTATCCTACATTCCCTAATAGTTTAACATACTTTTGAATAGAATGTTGAACTGTTAGAACTAGATGGAAATGATTAGCCAGAACTTTTCATTTTGTAATTTAAAAAAACTGACACAAAAGGATGTGATGTGATTTGTTCATGTTTACATAGACTTAGGAACTGGTAATGCCTAGATTTTTGTATACATTTTCTCCTATTTAAGTTATAAACTATGTCTTTTCTCCAACCATCAAAGTAAAAAAAAGGGGTGTTGAGATGCTAAAAACACTAACCTTAACCATTTATGATATCTATATGGGAATATAATTATGTTCTGTATCATTTGTTATACAAATACGTGATTTTTCCTCAAGAATAATTACAATTAGTTATATATCATGATCGATTCTTACCACAAAGTACATTTTTAATGATTTCTTATAATTCATAGTTTTATTATCTGTTTTAGATAGTCTAATAGATATCTTTAGATAGAAAAATTATATTTTTCTCCCCATGCATTAATAGGTTTCTAGATTGATGACTTACATTAAAAAAATATAATGAAATAATGATAGTTGTGAGGGTAGTGCCTCTTGCCATAGACATGATTTATAAGCTGCAGAGGGCCTTGGTGCCTATTGTGTCCTACCAATTATCCCCAAGTCTCCTGTCTCTAGGTACTTATCTGTGATTACTCACAACTCTGGGTTTCATTGTCATAAAAAAAAAATCTTACCTTGGAAAATATTTTTATTTTTCAGTCTTACAGTTTTATGTTATTATCAAAAGCTGATATGAATATCTTGTTTCAAAAAAATGTTGTAGCTATGATGTATACATATGAAAATCTAGAATTCACATGTGACCTAATGAGTATTTCAGCATAATTGTTTAAAAATCATAACCCGACTGAACTGAATACATGTGAAGAAAGAGAATAGTTGTCAGCGTTTAAAAACTTCATGTTTTCTATTTAATTTTGTGTTTGTTTGTGGGGAGGTTATGTTTTTACTTTCAGGATAGTACTTGTAATGTGTGGAAACAGGTACCTAATATTAAGTCTAGTTCTAGTCCTGCTTTGATAGGTGACAGTTAATATATAGTTTATTCTAAGAGGCTTTAGCCTCTATCTCTAAGGGATGATAGGAAGGTAAGTTAGATATATTTGATTTATTTGGACAGGCAGTAAAGGGAGAGTTAGAGAAGTTGGATTTGCTAGTTTATAAATAGTAAACTCCTATTTATATAACAGTGTTAAAATTCCTAGTTATATAATAATGTTATATAATGATGGATTTCTGATCAGGCAGGTGTCATCTTGACTCATGATATCATCAAAATTGAGTCATTAGTGTCTGCTAAGGATGCCTTAAATAATGAGAAAACTACCTTTCAGAAAAAGTTAATAGCTTAAGTGTCCTCCATGTGTTAAGGTGAACCTTCCTCCTCATAAATTATCCTCTGAATCCAGTTAAAATAGGTAGTGTAGGAATAGCCTTTCTCAAATAGAACCACAGGCTTATTTGGTCAATAGTTGCTCAAGTGACTTCTATGAAACTTTGATTGACAAGGTATGACATGGGTCAGAGAATAAATTTCCTGGATTGAGATCTTAATTACATACATTCTAACGCGCACTCCATCTCTACAATCTCTTTGAAGTCTTGGTAATTTCTTCAAAATATTCTCAAATCCAACACGTCTTTTGTCGTTGTTACTTCATTTTGGAAGAAATACAAAGAATGCAGTCTTGAAGAAAAATTTAAGACAAATTTCTTCCTTTGACCTTATTAACCAACCCTTTCCAAGACTTGTATACATTCTAATTTTTAAACAAAAAAATTTGAGTGATTATGTTCTCTTAAAGCACATTCTAAAGATAAGCCTTAGTATAAGATTTTTCTCAGTGAGTGCCATCTACTGGTACAATGCTGTAAGTACAATTTATGTAAGCTCTAGAATTTAGGTCCGTTTTTTTTGCTATTATTTCAATTATTTTGTATATACATAAATGTTCCTGAAAATTAAAGTATTTCAATTTTAAGTGTTAATAATGTGTAATTTAATTTTAAAATAAAATTGCCTGAGAGAAAATAGGAATTGACTAATAATAGACTGTCTTGGGTGCTATTTCAGACTTTTATAATCCTTTATGTGTTTTCAATACTCCAAAAAGAATAAATAATTAAACTTTGATGAAAGGACATTAAAAATAAAATATTTTTCTAGCTTACTTGGAATTCTTTTTTCAAAAAACGTAAGCCATCAATTGATTTATTCATTCCAAAAAATATTTATTGAGAATTCACCATACACCAGGCACTGCTTGGGGAACAAAATACTCATAATCCCTACCCTACACAAATTTACGTTTTTAATATATCTGAGTGAAAGGTGCTTTTTAAAAAATATTTTAGTCTCATTTTTTTTAGTCTTTATTTTAGTTGTCTATTTACCTCATATAATAGACATTCAAATACATGATAGTGCAATGAATGAAGTATACATTATTTCATCTCAATATCTTATACTTGTAAAAGATTTTTCTCCATAACAATCACCCTTCACCACATATCTAAAAAGTAGTTGGTACTTTGAAACCTAGAGACGTTATAGCCAAGAGCTTAGAACTAATCAGTATTCAATATATGGAGGGGAGAGGGAGGGAAATTGGTCTGTAAAATGGAAATTATATTCCATTAGTTATCTTTAATTCTCATTACAGTACTGGAAAATATGGAAAAGCCAGGGCTGTACTATGTACTTTGAGCATTTTTTTTAATATAAGAAAATGTGTTCTTAATATTTCCCTGCTTAACTCTCTCCTGTCTCCTCCCTACCCTCAGGATAAAGGCTAAACATTTAAGTATGGGATGTGTAACCCTTTTGTGTTTGTGATCTTGCTTGTTTCAAGAGCTTTATTTCTCACCAGTCTCCTTACTCTCTCACTCTGTAATGCAAACAAATTTAACCATTTGCACTTCTAAAAATATATCATGTTCTTTCTTATCTTACACATAGCATACTACTTTATACACTATTTCACTTAACTAAACTTCTATTTGTAATTAGGACTATTTATGTATCTTGACTGTTACTCCAGCATGACCATCCCAGTCTGGATTAGTATCTGTTCTTTGTTTTCCCATAGATTCTGTGTAAACTCCTATAATAATTCATATTCTTCCCTGCTATGCAAATTTAAGACCCTCTTCTCTAATTTGCTAGAGACCAATCATTGGCTTCTTTATCACTTAAACCCAATTGTTTAACATAATATCTGACATATTCTCAAAAATTATTTGTTGCACAAATGAATGACATTTGAGACCTAATGTTCACTTGACATAATAATTTTGAATTGTATTTACTTCTGTATTTCAGAGTTCGTTTTCTAGCCAAGGATAATATAACCCACAACCCTGAGACCAATACAGTCTCTTTTGTACAGCCCAATGCTGCCATTTTTGAACCTTCACTATCAAGTGGAACAGAGAATGACACTTTGACTGTTCTCAATCTGGCTGTTGCTGTGCGTAGACAAAATTATTTGTTTTGAAATACTTAGAATCCACTATAATTAATCTTGTGATTAGATATCATTAGATAGTATTTATTCTGTCATTTTTATAAAGATGTGTTCCTATGTTGTTATTTTGAATAGAGTTATGGTCTTTAGGAAAGATGACAAAAATCATATAATAATCAACTGAATTAGAAGACTATTTAAAGTATATCATTAAACAAAATAGAACTTTGAATATCTTCTTGTGTCTGACACTGAGGCAGAGAAATTTACTTATCTTGGGGTTAGACAAATTATACTTTTAGTTTTGGCAAGATTTAGCAGTAATTTTATTTTGTAAATATATTTTTTAACTTTTCAATTACATTTTATTAGTTTTATTATATTAGTTTTGGGTGTATAATATAGTGTGACTAGGCATTCATGTATCTTATGAAGTGGTTACTCCAGTAAGTCTAGTGTCCATCTGATACCATATGTGGTTATTACAATATTATTGACTATACTCCCTATGCTTTATATCCCCGTGACTGTTTTTATAACTGGCAATTTGCACATCTTAATTCTTTTCCCCTTTTCACCCATCCTTCCAACCCTCCTCCCATTTGATCCCATTTGACAATCATCAAAATGTTCTCTGTATCTATGAGGTTTTTTTTCTGTTTTGTTTGTTTATTTTGTATTTTCGATTCCATTTATAAGTGAAATCATATGGTGTTTGTCTTTCTCTGTCTGACCTATTTCACTTAGTGTAATACATCCTAGGTCCATTCATGTTGTTACGGATAACAAAACTTCATTCTTTTTGTAATGGCTGAGCAATATCCCATTGTATATATGTACCACCTCTTATTTATCTATTTGTCTACTGATGAACACTTAGGTTGCTTCCATATCTCAGCTATTAAAATTATGCTGCAGTGAACATATGGAAGCATATGTCTTTTCAAATTAGCATTTCGGGCTTCTTTAGATAAATACCCAAAAGTAGAATTGCTGGATCTTTCTTTGTCTCTTGTTATAGCCTTTGTTTTACAGTTTTTTTAATCTGATATAATTATTGCTATCCCAGTTTTTTTTTTTTTTTCATTTCTATTGACATGAAATATCTTTTTCTATCCCTTTACTTTCAGTCCGTGTATGTCTTTTGATCTGAAGAGGGTCTTTTGTACGTGGCATATGTGTGGGTCTTGTTTTCTTATCCATTCAACCACCCTATGTCTTTGATTGAAGCAATTAATCTATGTACATTTAAAGCAATTATAGGTATATAGTTATTGCCATTTTATTGTTTATATATTTTTTCAATTTTCTTTTTTTTAAATTTAATTAGTTCAACTATACAGTACATCGGGTTAGACATCTATATAGTTTGTAAAATGATCCCCCCATTGCTCCCTTCCTCCCCTGACCCTCCATCTAGCCAATGTATTAATGCTAACTGCATTCCCTATGCTGTGCTCCCCATCCCATGACCATCCATCAGCTACTAATTTGTACTTCTTTTTCCTTTACCCCATTCTCCCTGCCCCCCAAACCTCCCTTCCCTCTGTCCATCACCAAATTGTCCACTATATTTGTGAGTCTGGTTTTAATTAGTTTGTTCTTCTTATTCCTTAGATTCTGAATATAAGTGAAATCATATAGTGTTTATCTTTATCTGACTTAAATACCTTCTAGGGCTATCAAAGCAATATCTTTTTCCATCCTTTTCCTTTAAGTCTGTGTATGTTTTTTAATGTGAAGTGAGTCTTGTATTTTTCCTTCTTAAAGAAGTCCCTTTAACGTTTCCTGTAATACTGGCTTGGTGGTGATAAATTCCTTTAGCTTATTTTTGTCTGGGAAGCTCTTTATCTGTCCTTCAACTCTAAATGATAGCTTTGCCGGATAAATTATCCTTGTTTGTAGACCCTGAGTATTTGTATTTAAACTTTGGCATTTTAATTATAATGTGTCTTGGTGTGGGCCTCTTTGGATCCCTGATTTTTAGAATCCTATGAGCTTCCTGGGGTTTTACATCCATTTCCTTCACCAGGTTAGGGAAGTTTTCCATCATTATTTCTTCAAACAGCTGTTCAACATCTTGATTTTCTTCAGGTACGCCGATCAGACAGATATTTGGATCTTTAATAGTGTCCCATATGCTCCTTAAATTATTGTTATAGTCTTGGCATCTTATCTCTTGCCATTCTGACTGAGTGTCCTTAGCTTTCCCATCCTCTAAACAGGGCATTTAAACCTTTCCTTTATTCACTTTGTTCATTCTTTTGTTTATTTCATCTAGCATACATTATCTCAGATAATGTGTTCTTCATTTCAGACTGGTTCCCTTTTATAATTTCCATTTCTACTTTTATGCTTTTTATCTCTTTGTTGAAGTTCTCACTAAATTCATCTACACTTCCCATAAGTTCATTGAGCATCTTAGAACCAATGTTTTGAACTCGGCATCTGTTAGTTTGCTTGACTCCATTATATCTGGATCTCTGTTCTGTTCTCTCATATGATTTCTGCTTCTTTGTCTTCCCATTTTGGCTACCTTTCCATATCTGTTTCTATGTACTAAGCAAAGCTCCTAAGTCTCCAGACTTACTAGTGTGGATTTGTGAAGTGGCACAGTCCTGAGAGGGGTTCAGCTGCAGACCAAGCTTAGCCCAAACCTCTGCCCCTCTGGGGCCACCTGTTAAGATTTGTCAAGCAATCCACAAATGCTGTGCTTATAGTTGCCTCAAAAGGCCACACGAGAATCTGAGGCCAGCTGCCTCCAACGTGAGTCTAGGTGCTGCTCAGCAAGGAGCACCTGACTCACTGAAGATATATCTGGATGTTGCTTGGGTGAAGCCGCAAGTTGGGGGAGGTGGGGTTTCAGGGAATCTTCTGGGTGGAGAGACCTCTGTTATCAAGTTTGATGATGTCAATGCTATGGTGGCACTGTGTCCACTCAACAAGGAACAATGGATACTACCGGCACTTCTCTACAAAGTGAGTCTCACCCTGGCCTTCACTCCGACAACTCAGTGTTCCCTGTAAGTCCCTGGTGCCCCCTGTGCTCAGCCTAATTGGCACTGGTGCTCAGAGCAAGTAGGTTCATCACCACAAAAAATCCACTCATGGACACAGCCCCTTTAAGAGGCTTCTGCTGCTGCCGCAGCCTCCAACTCTCTCAGCCACTCACCCCGTCCTACCTTCTGCCATTGCAGGGTGCTTTCTTGGATTTCTCCCTAATTGTATGGCTTGTTCCTCTAGATCCCAGGCAATTTTTCCTTGCTGCTGCTCTTTGTTTTCATCACAACTTTGATTTGGTCACCAGAGGGATTAACAGAGCTTCTATCATCTACGCCATTTGTTCCCTCTAATTTAAAACTTATTCTGGATAGATTCTCCCCAGTCAGACTCCGTTAAGAAGAAGGCCTTCCATTAAATTATTTTTCTTTTACTTAAAGAAGTCCCTATAACATTTCTTGTAATAGTGATTGGGTGGTGATGAACTCTTTAGCTTTTTCTTGTCTGAAAGGCAGTAATTTTACAGATACAGTTTTAAAACTTTTATTAAATTTAATTCTAGTTTTTAGTCCACTTATTTGTTAAATATGTGATACAGCAAATGGTGTCTTAAACGGTGATTTTTTTTGTAGGCTGCACCCCATCTCTATCCAAATGCATTTGTTCAAGTGTTACTCAATTCGCTTATCAAAAAGTCGAAATCATCTCTGTTTCAAAGGAGAACTGTGAAAGAACTATTGTGGGGCTATAAGGATCCATTCTTGAGTTTGGTTCCATACCCTATTACTACTACAGTTGGTGCATTTTTTCCTGTGAGTACCAAATATGAATGTCAATATTGTTATGCTTCAATTAGATAATTATAATGTATAGGAAATTCATAATTTTATAATTTAGTGTGTTAACCCTATTTTTGATCAGGGAATATGTATTCTAATTTTTGAAAGTTTCTCGCATGGTTTCCGAACTTTCCTAGTTCAGATAATTTACTTATCTATATTTAACTATTAAATTTAAAATTAAGAAGCTGAGATCTAATCCAATTTCCATTCTTTAATAAATAAACAATTTTTCTAAAATTAGGTTATAAGCTAGTAAGGCTTTGATCACTATTTTTGTTTTGATTTTCCTTTTCAAAAAAATGAATTTAATACCATACCTTTAATTGTGTTAAATGTATTCATTCTATCATCCTCCTTCTCTGGACCTGTCACAAATTATTTTAGTGTAAATTTAAAAGTTAGCCTAAATTTGCATTGAATAGTATTGATAAATTAGCAATGTCCTATTTTAATGGAGTTTGTTAGTAAGAACTTTTAGTGGTCCATAAATGTCATGAAATGACGGTTTGGAGGTTAAGGAAAATGTGAACTTAGTGATATAATTAGTTATAGCTTAGTGCTTTGAATTATAATTGAACAAGCTGACTCTTGAATTGGGAGTTTGACTATGATTTGTCACAATAAGTGATATTAGTTATATTCTCCGGTTTATTACTGTTATTTTCCTTTTAGATGGTATTTACAATTGCAAGGTTATCTATCAATTAAGTGTCATGGAGAAAGCATTAAGGGAACAGAGATTCAGTTATTTTTTAACTCAGATACTTGTAACTCTTTTCTTGTAATTTTGTATACCTAATTTTTGTTAACCACTTATTAAAGATCATAACATTTAGAATACCTCCAGAAATCTGTCATTGTTCTTATAGATTTTGTAATAGTAGTAGTAATCAAAATTGTTTTGCTGGCTTAATTATGACAAAGAGTACTAGAGTCTGGATTATGCCATTTTCTGATATTTGTTTTCTTCTTCTGATTCAGCATCTAGCACTTATTTACAGGTACTTTTTATATTCCATCTTTTTAACATGTTAAAGACCAATAATTTTATTGCATATGCATTTTAAATTATATAAAAGAATTATGACTAAACATTGAGAAATGCAAAAGTGAATTAATTACATATTTTTTAACTTGGAAAATATGGTTCGCTCTAGAATTAATTTTTTTTGTACATATCTTTTCAGTACAACGATACTGCAGATGGAGTTTATACAGTTTTCAATGGAAAAGATGACATAAGCAAAGTTGCTGTAATTGACACTTATAAAGGTAAAAAGTAAGTATCAGGTAAAGTGTGTGGTAACTAGAGTACTTTTAGGCAGTATTCTTTTAACAACTAGGAAGGCACAGGACAGACATCAACCTATGGAACAAACCTGCTTGTATCTCAGCCCTGAAAATTCCTCTTCGGACAGGTATTAATGATTTAGTTATAACAACTAGTCAAACTAGTGCATAGCTGCTGAAAATCAGTGTCATTTTAGAGTTAGGTTTTCCTTTACCTACAGGTTCTCTTAATAAAGAAATACGAAGGGACTATTTCCATTTCTACTGCATAACCAGCATTACAGTGTACCCATACAATTAGATAAACACAAATGAAAAGAAAGAAAATCAATATATCAACTGATCCTCTAGCCGGCAGAAAAATATATTTTATTGGGTTTTAAAACCTTTTTACTGAGCATATCAAATAAAAATTGTTCATTACATTGATATGACCTAATGTGTCTATAAAGATAAAAGCTTAATGAATCCATGTGAACACTTCAATGATTTTCTCTTTCAAAATTTTCTCAAAATAATTTTCTATATTGATATATTGATATATTTATCAGTACAAAAATGGAATTAGGATTTTTATGTAGTTTTAAACTTATATATTAAACTTAAAAATAAAGAGCATGCCTCCTTTGAAGTAGTAATAGAATAAGACATGTCCAGACAGCTACAATTTCCTTTTTCAAGCTCCTGCCTAGTCACCTGGAATATTGATACTTTATCATATGTGTAAAGTAGGAAGAACTCTAATAAATATCAGAGGAGAAAGACTTTTCTTCTCCTCAAACTTAATAAATATGCTCTGGATAACTTAATTCCTGAAGAAAAGAAAAAGAATAAAGTAATCAAAATAGAGATAGAATGTTTTTATGAATATAAGAAATCATTTTCTCACACTGAGTCTCTATCTAAAAATTGCACACAACAGTTAGTCACTAGTGTAGTATTTTTTCTTCTACAGAGTTTATAAGCACATATTTTTATAGAAAAGCCTAGTGAAGGAAAAAAAAAGTACTTCTAAATGTTTATTTCAGGGAAAATCACATCACTATTTTTATAGTGAGGAACATGAAAATTTCCTCCATTTCAATATATAGAGAGATTTTGAGGAGAGTTGCTAAGTGCTACTAATTGAAGTAAAAATTTTATTTCAGTTTAAGATTATGGTAAGGTTTATTTAACTGATCATGTCAACACTATGTAGGATTAACAGCTTAATCTATTTTTAAAAAGAAGCATCAACTTGCATCGACATCTCACTGGATGATATGTCAGGAGGCAGAAAAAGTTTTTCCATCACCAAAATGTAGTTGAGGATGCAGAGAAACTATTATTACTATGTTTTTTATTATGAAAGACAGACAGACAGATACACAAACATACACACACACACACACACACACACACACACACAGAGATATCTAATCTAGACAGAAGAGTATAAATTAAATTCTGTCCTACTTTAATCCCAGTTCATGTAAGAGTTAAAAGGGCGGGAACATTTAAATTGATTATGTACAGGTTTCCAATCTCCATTAATCAAATATCTGCTTTTCTTTCCTCTTCCCCACTCTCCTCTTCTCTCTCATACTGAGCTTACATCATTTACCCACTTAATATTTTCCTCCTATTTAGTTTGAACACTCAACATACTACCAAATAACTTATTTCTGCCATTGGAAAAAAAATTTTCCCTAAGTAGAGTTCTAAATTTCTGGTAGATGTTTTTCTTTTCTTTTCTTTTCTTTTTTTTCAGAACTGTGTCTATTCTAATTTATTTTTATTTAACAACATTTGGCAGTTTTTATTTTATAATCTGGTCACTTAATGGTATCAGGCACTTAATTTAATAAGATGAAAGCTTCAAAGAATATATAAACTGAAGGATTTAGAACATTTCTTAAACTTAGCATTTGCCAGGTCTAATCTGTATAATTTTAGAAGAAGTATTGAGTCATAATAGACAAAATGAAAAGGGTACTCTTGAAATGACAATGTCTTTGTTCATTTTCTTCTTTTTTTTAATTCCTAAGGAATCTCAGCTATTGGTCAAGTTATTGTGACATGATTAATGGTACAGGTAAGAGCATTTGTTTTGTAGCAATAATCACAATGAATCCACCTTTCTCTCCCCCACAAATCCACCACCACACCTACAAGATTCTCGAAGGTGGAGAATGTGTATTGACCTGTCTTTCTATCCCCACAACATAACTCAGTCTCTATTCTTATGTAGTCTTAGTAAATATCTGTTTAATGTGATAGGATTTCTGAAGATTAACTATTGAGAATTATTAGCCTTTCCTGCATTACTAGGAAAAATGTTTTGCTTTGTAAAAACTTTACTTAATGAACTGTCTTCCTAGCAATAGAAGGGGTTGAAAAATTTAGAAAAATAGTTACTATTCACATCTTTTGTAAATACTGTACAAATAATAATTTAAAATTGAGAAAATTAAAAAAGGTCATTGCAAAGGTAAATTATATTTCCAAGTGAGGTTTCAAGCTGAAGTAAAATTGGTAAAGTTGCAGGACAATGCCTTCTATTTTGCATAAGGTGGTCAGAATAAGAGAGAAAACAAAAAACACAGTTAGATGTTTACTAACCATTAAGAGTATGCAAAAATGGACATTCTGAATTAGAACTGGGAAAAAGATAGTACTATGAACTTAGATTTAGAGTGTGGTTAGATCTGGCTTATTTTACTCCTTGAGGAAAAGCAAAGTATACATATGCCTATTAATTTAAGAATTAAAATTTTAAAGAATAATGGGAATCAAATATCATGAGATAATTTAAATCAGAGGTGAGTTTTCAACAACTAAGTAGAGGAAGAAGAATAATGTTTACAAAGTTGGTGAAGTAACACTGTAGAAAAACAATAAAGATAAAGAAAGTGAAATACAAAGTTTTGCAAAAACTAAGGAAATACAAAGTTTTGCAAAAACTAAGGACTAAAAAGGAAACAGGGAACACCAAAACTATTGTTGAGTTTGGCATTTTTAATTTTGTTTTCACTCCCTTATAGAAAAAAAAAAAAAAAACAGCAAAAACACTGTTTGGTTTACTTTGTAGTGCTTTGAGCCACAGGGGTGGATGAAGAGAAGGAAGAAATTTGTTTCTAAGTAAAGCATTTCTGCAAATAAATTGTCAAGTGTCCCAATACTACTAACTCTAGTAATTGGATAAGCATGAAACTTTAGTCCTTAGATACAGAGAGAAATACACTGTGCTGCTCCTAAATACTAAAAGATTCTTAGTTTAAGAAAAAAAATCATTAAACAATTCTGTCCAAAGTTGAGTAGAGAAATTTTAAAAGAGGAGGTAGAATATTCATTAATGACAATAATATAAATAGATGAGAAAACAGAAATTAAACAAACTAGGAACATAGATTGGACAGGGCAGGGGACTCTGACGTAATCTTTGTGAGATCCTTGGTAACAACACTAGGGAAAAGAGACTAATGAAACACAAAAGTTTCGATATGTTCTCATTACGATTTACAAATGCTTCTTCTAACTTCTCAATCAGTTCGAAGAGACATGGTAATTGTTAGTAAGATTATGATGTAACCTTCAGTGATGTTTTAAATAATAAGTTTTAAAACTTTCACCATTTCCTTTTCCTTTTATGGTTAAGATGTTAGAGAGACAGTTGTAGGCAATGCCCACTCAGGGACCTCTGAGGAGTTTAAACTACTTTTTAATATCCAATTCTCCGATTGCCAGGATCAAGTTCAGTAATCTGTTTCATTTCACTTATCACAAGAATATAAGTGAAAGTTAATAAGATTACAAGGTTGGAACACTTACCAGAATAACCTGAAATTCATAATTGAGGGATAGGTCTTACCCTTTTGAACAGAAGCATTCAATGGTGGCTCATTTTGGTGATAAACATTTAAGAAGCAAGTGGAAGAGTTATTTAGTTACTTCTTTACATATCCAGTGTGTGCTATGGATCATAACCACAGCAGAAATTCAGTAAACTCAAAAAATGCCCTTTTAGTTTGATGGATGTGTTTTCAAATCATTTGCAAGGAATTTTGTTAAATGAGAGAAATTTAATAAATGATTAAAAAATATTAATCAGTCATTAGTGCAAATGTATGAATCACCATCAAAAGTAAGAACAATGCATATCTATAAGGAGTTCTGAATGAACATCACGGTAAGAAAAGTGCCACTCTATTATGTGTTTAAATGACAATATTTTGGAAAAAAAAATAAATGACAATATATTGGATATATTGGGTTGAATAAACATATCTGTTTCTTTTTAGTTTTTAAAATGTGGCTACTAGAGAATTTAAAATTACATACAAGTTGCATTATTATTTCTATTGACAATGCTGGAATAGAGATTTCTAGGTTTTTCTAGGACACACATTACATCTAATCTCTTGCCACTGGCTTAATTTTAAATAGATGCAGCCTCGTTTCCTCCTTTTGTTGAGAAGACACGGACACTACAATTCTTTTCCTCTGACATTTGCAGGTAAGACAAAAACACCAATGTATTTCTGTGAGTCAGAACTTTTTTCCCCAAGTAACCAAGAAATAAAACACACACCAAGAAGCTCATACTTAGTAATGTTATTTGAGAAAAATGAAATACACCTAGGGAAATTTTTCTTGATTAAAAATAAATACAATATGATACTCATAATATATTTATTAACTCTTTAAAAAATTGAAGAATATAGAAAGATATTTTGCATAATGCAAATAATTTTCTTCTTGTGAACTATTTTTCCTTTTTTTAACTAAACTGGTGGTACGTTAAATAATGGCCAAGTCTAGCCTCTACGCCCAGTTTTTCTAGAGATGTCCAGAGAAGATAATGTCACTGTCACAGAACTATGTCAATTAATGTGCTCTATTGCTACTATGGCATCTTTTCAAATTAATAGGGCCTAGTAGAAACCACACAAGCATTGAAGCTCACACCAATATGTTTGAATCCTAGCCCGGTTCCTAAAGGCTATGTGGTTGTGAGCAAATATTTAATATCTCTTCATCTTTTCCTTGTCTGTAAAATTGAAGAAAGCAGTATTTTTTTTCATATAGAGTTATCTGGAGATTGTCAGAAATATGTATGAGGATAAATGTGGTCAAATATATGGTGACAGAAGGAGGTTTGACTTTGGGTGTTGAACACACAAGGCAATATACAGATGTTGTATTATTGAGTTATACACTTGAAACCTATATAATTTTATTAACCAATGTCACTCCAATACATTTAATTAAAATAAAAGGTAAAATTGTTTCTTTCAGTCAAAGAATAAAACTATTAGAATTGTAAAATAAAATATGTATTGAACCTCAGCACATTGCCTAGGTAATGGTGGATATGGTGGTAAATGATGGAGGTGTAGTGTGTCTGTTTATCTCTCTTGCTCTCTTGCTCTCTATCTATATCTATATATCAAACCTTCACATGGACACACCCTGGCAAATAAGTGGCTTTTCTCTCCATGGATAAGTTCTGAAAGGCATTTTATTTTTATTTGAACTGGGAACAAATAAAGAATTTGAGAGTCATGTAAATGTTTAATCTATAGAGGAAATAAACTACAAAAACTGTACTTCATAAGCAAAAATTATTCTTACAAGCTTTTGAAAACAAAGGTAAGAATAGCTCATACTCAGATATTAAGTTCTGGTATGCCCTAAAAGTTTACAAGAACTTTTTTCCCAAAAATTAAACAAGAATTCTACTGAGAGTATATCAGATTTTTCTAAGTTAAAGAAAGAAAACAAGTTTAAAACTAAGAAAAAACTGATCTCCAGAATGTAATTGTTTCCTGGAATGAAGCTCTTTCTTCTCTGTGTTTAGGTCAATCTATGCTGTGTTTGGAGCCGAACATGATCTGAAAGGAATTCCTGTGTATAGGTTTATTCTTCCACCCAAGGCCTTTGCATCTCCATTTCAAAATCCAGACAACCATTGTTTCTGTGTAGACAGAGAGGTCTCAAATAATTGTACATTTTATGGTGTGCTAGATATTAGCAAATGCAAACAAGGTGAGTATATATTCTCAATATTACAGTTTAGGACATAATTTGTAGTATTTTTTAAAATGTAACCTTTACCTAAGATCCCTTTTCACTAAGCATTTAAAGTGCGAAAACAAGGACAGAAAGTAAGGATGATGGTAGAAATTTTGATTTTAATTTTGTGTTGTGTTCAAGGTCCCAACTATGTTTCAGTGCTACAAAACTTAGTGATTGTTAGATAAAGTGACATTGCTATTTTCCTATGTTACTTTGGAAAATGCCTATTTAGGCCCTTCGCCCATTTTTTAAATTTGGTTGATTTTCACTGTTTTTTTTCTTTTTTCTTTTTAGTTGTATGGGTTGGTTCCTTGTATATATTGGATAAGAACTAGTAATTGGATATGTGGTCTGCAATTATTTTCTCCCATTCCTTAAGTACTCTTTTCATTTTTGATAGTTTCCTTTGCTATGCAAAATCATTGTTCTCCTTTGAGATTTAGAGTAAAACAGAATAATTCCCAGAATACTTTGAGCATCCCAACTATCCTTCTGCCATTTTTCTAGCTTTTTTCCCCCTTGAAAATAGTATGTTGCTAAAACAATAATTGACTTAAACAGAATTTAGAGTGTCTTATTTTGTTCACCTTCTTCATATTGGAATGAGTATGAAAAGGAAAGAAAAACCTCTTAATTATCAGTTCATAGATGTATTACTGCCTGAAACATGAATATTTATGGATGAAACTGTGTTCAGCAGTTAAACTTTACATATTAAAAATTAACGCCTAAGGAATGAACATTCTATTACTAGGTTAATAGAATGACACAGAATTTTATATTTTATTAGTATGTAATAGTGATCACGTTATAATCATCTCTCACTCTCATCCCCCAAAATAAGTGTTAAAACTCAACTGTGCATTTGTTTAATTTAAAATCTTTATTTTTAAGGAATTTTTTCTGAGTGGCATGTGAAATGAGGAAAATGATTTGTCTCCAATTATTTTCTTAAAACTTGTTTCTAGGAAAACCGGTGTTCATTTCACTTCCTCATTTTCTACATGCAAGTCCTGAAATTGCAGAAAATATTGAAGGCTTAAATCCAAAGGAAGAAGAACATAGCACATACTTAGATGTTGAACCTGTAAGCAAATATACTATTGATCTAATCTGTTTAATATTGTTTTTTAAAACAATGAAGTCGAAAGAAAAAATAAATTCTCTCCTTGTCAATCACATCATTGATCACATTTATTGAATCATGATCTTGATGTATTACTTTTATTTCACTGAAAATTGCATTGTTTTTTTCCTATTGCTTATGGAATATCAAGGTAATTAAATTTAAATTTTAAGCATATAGAATTTTATAAGCCTTTTCAATGGTTCATAGTTCAGGAGTGCCAACAATTGAAATAATTCTATTTGTCTTAAAACAATTTGATATAAATTACTAGTTTATGCTTATTTTACACATAATCATAAGTTTTGTTTATATGGAGAGACACTATATATTATGAAGGACCAAAGGAGATTTTATGGGTGTATGTGAATTAGTGGCAAGATCTATTATACTTAGTGGCAAGAAAAATCTATAAAAATTCCTATAGCACAACAGTTTTAATTTTTAAATTAACTCAAAAAAATGAAACACCAGACTTTTAGTAGACATGTTTCAGTTTAAATAATGATATGTTATATTATTAAACTGATAATACATGGATTCTGACTAAATATATATTTGACCATGCATAGTTCAGGAATTAAATTAACTGTATGAGCACTTATGTTTTAGTACTATCATTGTTATTGTTGATTCCCCAAATTTCTTTGGTAAATATCACAAATCTAACTAAAACCTTGACATTATGTTGGACAAAAAATATACAAGTGTGTGTATACATATGTATATGTATATACACCCACATGCATGTATACATATAATGTAATTATTGAGTTAAATATGCAATACATTTAATATGTCCCATTACAATTAATTATTTAATAAATTCCACAAATTTCAAGTTGAACAGTTTTACCTTAAGTTCTATATAACAATAAAAATAAAATTTGGATATTGTGTTTTAAAAATAAGTTAGTAATTATTTTAGTTTATTCTGTTTTTAGATAACTGGATTCACTTTACAATTTGCAAAACGGCTGCAGATCAACATATTGGTCAAGCCAGCGAAAAAAATTGAGTAAGTCTCTTGAACAAAGTTATTGTTACATGATTTTTAGTATTTTCTTGTAAGAATGTGAGTAAATCTATGAAAGTGGAAAGAATATAAAATTTCAACTTTCCTTTGGCTTAAATGTCATTAAATAATCTTTAAATGCTTATAACTTTTATTTGAGATTTAGAATTATATCTGGTGTTCATTGCAATAATACACATATTTTGGGGTGTTTTTCAGTATTTCATCGCATCTCTCATTTTACTAGCTCTCCAAATATTTCTATGACAACAGTTTTTAGAATTCATATTTTACTTTCTTGGGTAAAATTTGTTCAAAGGAAAAATTCGTGCTTAGAAAAAGTCAATCTAATTAGAAATCTGTGTTAGAAAGTTTTTTAGAGTAAAAGATATCTAAGAAACAGCCATATTAAAATTTAAATGACTCATTACAGGGAATAAAAATCAAGGAACTTAACTGATTTGCAAGAGCAACTAATTTCTGGATATTTAATATACTAGTAATTACTAAAATTTCTGTTATATATGTGTATTAGTATAAATTTTCATAATTTTTTAAATGTGTATTACAGGACATTAAAGCATCTGAATCGGAACTATATTGTGCCTGTTCTTTGGCTTAATGAGGTTAGTGTTTTTATCTATTAGTCTTTAAAGCAGTAAACTTCTTTGTATATAAAAATGCTTTTGATGTTTCAAAACTAAATATGTATACATAATATTAGAAGTTGTATGTTTCTATTGCCCATATAGATGAGTTTATATATTATTAGTTATAGCTACTTGAATGAACCAAATCACAGAAATATCAAATTGGTGTAACTTTCAGTGTTTTTCTTTTAGAAAGATAAAGTACTTCCCATCATTTTAGATTATTTTCAAAATGCATCTTTTAAACCTTTTTGTTGCTGTTGTAGTGCTTGTGTTGAAAAGTCATGCCTACTTCTAAGTCTAAATAATTCAAGACTTACTAATTTTAGTGCTAATAAAAGCCAACCAAGCTTATAAAAGCCAGGTTAGAGTATGGGTAGGCAGTCTGTCCTATTGCCTGACAAGATTTTTTAGTGTAAACCATGGGATGATTAGCCACAGAATTAGAAAATGCGTTGTGAATGCATTGTATAAGCCTTTAGAGGAAGCGAAACTGTTGACCCTTACCATTTTCCTTTGCCAGTGGGAAACATCCTTTGGAAAATTGTGGAAGATTTCAGTAAGACAGCTCTAAAGATCAATGGAGTCTAGTATACTGAAGAGTGCTAGATAATATGTCTAAAGGAAGGATTATATTTCATCCTGTATTCCATCTTGGCATTTATTGCCTTTTAACATGCAAATTGATTCCATTGGCTTGTCATATATAGATGACTATACAGGTGTTTGGAGAAAAGAGTGATACATAAGTAAAGGGTTTTAAGTATTTTGCTCCACTGATCTACACACAGAATGCTAATTATTAACTTAATTACAGACCGGTACCATTGGTGATGAGAAAGCAGAAATGTTCAAAAATAAAGTGACTGGAAAAATAAACCTCCTTCGTCTGATAGAAACAGTCTTAATCAGTGTTGGTGTGGTGATGTTTGTTGCTTTTATGATTTCATACTGTGCATGCAGATCAAAGAAAACAAAATAAGTAAGTATACCAAAAATATATAGAATGCTTCAGTGATATTAGTTTACATATTATTTTTTTACATGTTGTCAAAAAGGGGTTATAAATTAGGTTACAAATCTTTCTGGACACGTTAGCCAACTATCATTTATAATGTTTTCTTAAAGTTTTGAGGTGCTTAGTGTAAATAAAGACATAAATGAAGATTGAATAAATAAGTAAATAAGGCCTATGAATATCAAGCAGATTATTACATCTTTTATTCTGGGAGGAATGGGATAAAAGATAAACTTGTCACCTTTGAAAAGTACATATATAGCTTTTGTGCAAAATTCTGAGTTTTCATTTCTTGATTATTTCTAGTTGATTTTAAAAATAAAAAATAAGTAACATATCTGACTAGGAAAAGCTACGTAAAATAAAATATGGTAGATATTTGGGGAGATTGAAATTTATAAAAGAAAATAAAATAAATAAGCTAGAAATTAATAAGAGAACTAAAAGTGATAGATAAAATATGCTATTACAAAATAAACATGAAATAAAATGAAATTTAAAATGAAGATAATATTAATATAAAAACAAGTTTGCTGTATGTAGACTTGCTGACCATGCATTGTCCAAAATCAGGTTTGGACCATAGATGTTTAATGAGAAAGCCCAGATGAACAATTAAAATTCATGAGCTATAATTTGATTATAACAGTAGAAGAGAATTGGAGAAAATAGTGTTCAACACAGTAAAACCAAATTACTCAGAGTTTAGAGAAAAAATCAGGTAAATATGGACGATTGAGTTTTAGCAAAATCATAGAGGTGGTTCAGGACTCTGTGTTTTAGATATTAGTGCCTGAGTCCCCTTGTACATAAACAGGAATGAATGCCTGATCCATTTGCCCTAAATAGAGCCTTTCTTTAATAATTATAAGTGCCATCGTTGTGGCCTGTGGGGGAGAATTCTCTGCCTCCCTGATAGTTTTCATCAGTTGTCCCTTCCCAGGCACCCCTCAAAAATCTAAAAAAAGCAATATATTTATTTGAAAACCACAACTTCAAAACAAAAAAGTCCAATCAGACTGTTGGCCCTAAGCTGTCTTATGTAGAAATTATAGAGCTGCCGCTGATAATTATTGAGCTTTTATTATGTACAAGATCATGCTAAATGTTTCATATATGCTATCACATCTAATCCCTCATATAGTTTCATGAGTTTCCAAGAGCCAGGGATTCATCAATATCCATTCTATCTTAGATATATAGAATTTGAGTATTAGCTATTTTATTTTCCCACTGCTTTCTAATAAATAGTAACATTTCTTTTACTTTCCAGGCAGCAAATGAATCTTTACATTTATGTACCAGCAACATCAGGACCTTTGTTAATACTGACCTACGAAATGAAGATATGCTTTGTTTTTACAAAACACATCTAATCTTACAGTTGAAGAAATGGTGGCACTATTTTCTTTTTTTTTTTACATTAAGCAGCAGCACATTACTAAAGGATTATTAAGATGACATTTAAATCCATATTTGAACAAGAAACTGGAACCTTTTAAAATTCATCATGTACACGAATGAATTGATTTCAGTTTCTACAGATCTGACTCAAGCATGAACCAATTATTTTTATTTGGTACTGATTTACTAATTGGTTCCCTGGTGACAAATTCAGCAAAGGAGTAGATACGCTAAACAAATTCTGGACCCTGAACTCTTACCTTTCTCATCAATGGAAAACACTCCCACAGTGTGTGTTTACTTGCAACCGACTTAGGACTCTCAGTAGACAATCAACTATCTCGAAAGACATTTAACAATGGGAAATAAATCATTAGCCTTTGAGTCATTTATTACACATTACTTAAGTTTCTCTATGGAATTCTTTGTGCAGCAACAGCAAGCATTGTAATTATATTCTTAGTTTATAACAATATGAGCTTATATATATATCACTGATTAAGCAAATGGATATCATTTTCTGCACATTTTGACTTTCTGTTTGAGGACTTTGCCGTTTTCTACATTCTGCAGCTCTTCTGGAAATCTGAGTAGATTTTGATCTTTCTACTCATTTACTTACAACTTACGCTTCACAACTTCAGAATGCTGTGCTAATATTAAAAGATGTAAATGAGAATAAAGAATTATTGTATGAAAGTTTATAAAGAATAGAATATGCATTAATAGTTATTTGTTGTAATATTTCTTGCTTTCATAGTCACCTCAGAAAGACTGGTTTCAACCATTAAAAGATGTTCTTCCTTAAATTCCTGCACTTTGCTTAGTTCTTGTTGTGTTACAAAACGTTTACCCTAATTTTCTGACTGAAATATTTTATCTGAATCCATATTTCTTTATGAATCCAAATTTCCTTCTGAAATATTCTGATTCAGTTGTGACTCTTCATCCTAGGCTAATTTTTTGAACCAATTGGGGGGGGAAAGCAAAAAGATATTTGGTTTCATTCTTTATAGCAGCATGACTTAAGTTCTAGACTGTGAAAGGAAGCACATTATTAGGTAATCCTGCCTTCTTTATAAGGAGGCACATTATTAGGTAATCCTGCCTTCTTTAGCAGGGGTTCACTTATTCCTGAGAGCACTAGCCCTCCTAAAAAGTTTCTCATAGACAGAGAAGATGAACCACATTCTGTCTTGTGTTTTACATACAGAGGTTAATAGGATCATAGGAGTTTAGTAACTGGTTGGTTTGGATACTAAAATTAAGTCTAACTTGGTATCCTCATGTTAGCAGCCAGGGTAAATACTGAAAACTCCACACTAAGACACTACCAGTTTGGAAGAATCTTAAGAAAAATGAAGGTACTCCAAGCATACTGATTTAGTGTCTTTCTATTTAATTGGGAGAGGAAAGAAAAAGTATCTAATATATTTACATGTAAAAATAGATTCTAGAAATCCTCTTCTGATAAGAGAAAAATTTACTTTAGGATCTTCGTGGACATGTTGATCCAAGAGAATACAAAGGATATTTTTTTAAATTCTTGAACTAAGAAGGTCTGAGCTATGTAAAGTTGTAACTGTTCAAAAGAATTGAATGAGGAAATACATATCTACCTCTGGTAAGTTTTGTAGATCCAATCAATAACTCAGATTTAAAAAATCTTCATATAGAAATGCTTGTCATAGTATTTAGGTATCAAGAAAAAGATTTTTTTTTTTTACTTTAATCATTTGCTTTTTTAAAAAAAAGATTTCGACTTATGTATCTTTAGTATTATTTAACTAATACATTTATATTCTAATCTTTATCATTCCTCACCATTTTTTCTCTAAATTTTATAAAATATGTACATGAGGAAAGTTAATCCATACACTAAAATAAGTATATTATAAATACCCAGTAGGAAAAACAATTCTTTAAAGAATGGCACATATGTGCACTGAGGTAGGAATGGGGCACTTTTGAGAATGTATTAAATGTGTGACTTGTAGTTTTGCCACAGAGAAAGTGTATGGTGTTCAGAGAGGGTAAATGTTCGAATACTTATAATTGTATGTGGATGAATGTGTACACTTTATTCCACAGAAAAACTGCACCATTTGACAGAGGCACATTTTTATTTCAAACTATGTTTAACCACCACAAAAACTCTAATTGTTCATAACTTAAGTTTGAAAACCTATAGCATGTGCAAAGGGGTCAACATGTTACAGAGTCTGTGGCATCTGAAAATGGGTTAACGCTTATTGTTATGGACAGGTTCATGAAGAAGGACAATCTATATAGCTTTCAGTTCTCAAAAAAAGAAAAAGAAGTAAAGTGAGTATCATTTTAGGGAAAACAATGATTATGTCTGAAAATTCGCTCCGAACGTGCATGATATTTGTGTTTGGATTTATATGTGTGCAACAATCTATCAGTCTTTTAACCTGTTATCAATACCCGAGGTACACAATATCTTTTCAGCTAGAGTTTGCTTTAAGTGTGTTCTGACAATTCAGTTTTTCTGGTTGAAGTCTAATGGATTTGCAACACTGGCTATTCTCTCTTCACCTGCCTCTTCTGGCTTATCTATAATTCTAAATGGATTTTGAACTCTAGATAATCACTGTTCATTTTGTTTTTCTGCTTATATCAACAGAATAACCTATAATTGATTTTCCTGATTTATTTACAGTGAGTCGAACTAATGAACTAAAATCAGTTGCTGTTTTATATTTGTATCAAATACACACTAGGATACTCTGCTTTTTCCTTTTGTGGCTCAGAAATAGCTTCATTTTTCAGGTATTTCTGAAAATATATGCATTTTATTGTGCTTCACACATGTGGCATTTTATTTATTTTGTATATATTTTAAATTTTTCAATTACAGTTGCCATTCAAAATTATATGTCTCAGGTATACAACAGAGATTAGACATTTACATAATTTATGAAATAATCATCCCAATAAACCTAGTATTCATCTGACACCATAATTATATTATTGACTATATTCCATATGCTACACTTTATATTCCATTACTATTTTTTAACTATCAACTTGTACTCTTTGGTCCTTTTCTCTTTCATACCAATCTACCCAACTCCCCTCCTATCTGGCAACCATCGAAATGTTCATAGAACTCTGTATAAGTTCATTTCTGTTTTGTTTGTTCATTTCCTTTGTTCTATAGAGTCCACATACAAGTGAAATTGTATGGGATTTGTCTTTCTCTGACTTTCACTACTCAGGACAATATCCTCTAAGTTTATCCATGTCATTGCAGTTAGCAAGCTTTCATTTTTTATGGCTGAGTAATATTCCAGTGTGTGTGTGTGTCTGTGTGTGTGTGTGTGTGTGTGTGTATGTGTGTGTGTGTCACCTCTTCTTTATCTATTCATCCATTAATGGACGAATTATTGGATTGCCTCTATATTTTGGCTACTGTAAATAATGCTGCAGTGAACATATAGATACACATGTCCCTTTAAAGCAGTGTTTGGGTTTCTTCAGATAAATATCTAGAAGCGGTATTACCAGGTTCTTCTTTGATTATTGTTTATTGCTTATTTTGAAGTATATTTTGTCTGGCATAAGTATTGATATCCCAGCCTTTTTTCATTTCTATTTTTAAGAAATAACTTTTTCCATCCCTTTACTTTTAGTCTGTATGTGTCTTTCAAACTGAAGTGAGTCTCTTGTAGGCAGCATATGTAAGGTTCTTGTTTTCTTATCTATTCAGCTACCTACCTTTTGATTGGAGTATTTAATACATTTACATTTAAATAATTATTGATAGAGTTGTAGTTATTGCTATTTATTATTTATATTTTTTCATCTTTTTTCTTTTTCTTAAAAAGGTCTCTAACATTTTTTTGTAATACTAGTTTGGTGGTGATGAATTCCTTTAACTTTTTCTTATCTGGGAAGCTCTTTATCTGTCTTTCCATTCTAAATGATAGCTTAGGTAAAGTGATCTTGGTTGTAGGTTCTTACTTTTCATTACTGTGACTATTTCGTGTCAGTCCCTTATGGCCTACATACTTTCTATTGAGAAATTGTCTGTCTTATGGAAGCTCTCATGTAGGTAACTAACTGCTTTTGCTGCTTTTAAGATTTTCTTTTTGTCTTTAATCTTTGGCATTTTAATTATGATGTGTCTTGGTCTGGGCCTCTCTTGGTTCATCTTGTTTGGGACTTTCTGTGCTTCCAGGGCTTGTATGTCTATTTCCTTCACCTGATTAGGAATATTTTTAGTTATTATTTCTTCAAAAAGGTTTCCAATTCTCCTTATGGTACCCATATGATGTGAAGGTTTGTATATTTGTATATTTGTATATTTGATGTTGTCCCAGAGACCCCTTAAATGATCCTCATATTTTTAGATTTTTTTTTCTTATTGCTGTTCTAATTGGGTTTCTGCTGCTACCTTATCTTCTAAATCTCTGATTTGATCCTCTGCTTCATTCAATCTACTGTTGATTCCCTCTAATGTATTCTTCATTTATGATTGGTTCTTTAAGTTTCTATGTCTTTGTTAAAGTTCTCACTGAGTACATCTATTCTTCCCCTAAATTCACTGAGCGTTTTTATAATCAGTGTTTTGAACTCTACGTCTGATGCATTGCTTATCTCCATTTTGTTTAGTTCTTTTCCTAGAGCTTTGCTCTATTCTTTCTTTTGGGACATGTTTCTTTGTCTCTCCATTTTGACTGCCTCCTTGTGTTTGTTTCTATGTATTAAGTAGGGCTTCTATGGCTCTCAGTCTTAGCACAGTGGCCTTATATAGTAGGTGTCCTGTGGGGTCCAGTGATGCAGTCTCCTTGGTCAAACGAGTTTGGTGTGTCAGATGTATCCCTTTTATGGGTTGTGTGTGCGCACTCCTGTTGTAGTTGAGCCTTGGTTACTATTTGCACATCAGTGGGAGGGATTGACCCTGTGAGGACTGGCTAGTGATGGGCTGACTCTGTGAAAGAGGATTCACTTTGGCAGAGTTCTTGTACCTGCCCAGTCTGCCCTTTGGGCATGTCATCCTCAGATGTGGTCCTAGGTGGTGTTTCTGCTCAGTCTGAAATCAGCACCTGGGCCTACCAGGAGGCCCCACTGCAGGCTAAGTTCAGCCGTGGCCCATACCCTACCTACCATACCCTACCTGAGGCCACCTGGCAAGAGTCACCAAGCAGTCCACAATTGGCCACCACTTGCATTGGGCTTGGAGGTTACTCAAGAGGTAAAGCTGGAAACCGAGGCCAGTTGCCACTAGTTCCGGGCTTGGGGCTCCTCAGCCACAGATGTAGGGCATGCCAAGGCCAGATGATATTTGTTTAGGTTTTGTAAACTTTTGAGAGGTTTTAGGAAAGTCTCCAACATGAGACAAGACAGATTTGTATGAAAAAATCCTCTTGAAGTGGCTTGGGT